AAAAAAAAAATAGTCAGTTTTTTTGCGCCACCCTACTGTATATCTATATATAGTGTACATTTATCCCACTAGAGGCGCTTGGGCATTATAGTGCTATTTTCGATGTTTGATATATTTTTTTTTTCACATTCTTTATTTTATTAATATTTCATAATTAAATGAGCATTATGAGTCATGCACTTTTGGATTTTCCAAACTTGTTTTTTTTTTTAGTGTAGTGTTCGAAGACAAGAATGTAATCGTAAATGTTGACAATAATTTTGTAATAAGTTGTAATAAACTATTATTAAGTTCATGACCTTGAAAATTACGGGGGAAAATAGATTTAGAAATAATTATTAAGTTAATTAACGATATACGTCCTCGATATCTGTTGTAAATTGATAGTTATATCTATTTACCAATAGACGCCGGGTATTGATTATAATTGTCATAATAATAACATTTAGTTATCGTAATCATTACCGGAATCTATACACTGTTTTGATAATTATCAATTAAAAATGAAAAAAACAAAGTAATTAAATTTTTTAGTTTATTACCTCCCGGGTCAAAAAATTTGAACTGATTTTAAGCTAAATGATCTGCATTTGAACTTATTGATCTATATTTGAACTTTAAAAAACATTTTTATCGGGATTTGATCTACTATTCAAATTATTTTTAATCGGTTTTAAGTCTAAATAACTTTTTAGTAAAAATAATTAAGCAGCTATGAATATTTTATACTGATTAAAAATATTGATTGAAAAGTATTGGGAATTAGTCATCCCATGTAAACTGTATATCTATATATACATGAAAAAGAATTGAAAGTATTCAAAAGTATTCAAATTTCATCATTTTTAATCCTTTTCAATCAATATTTTTTTTAACCAGGGAAGATGGTGACATAATTTTTCGGACTTAAAAGTATCTCATTAGAAATTATAAGTCGCATTTATTTGAAAAAATAAATTAATTTATAATATATTCATGCGCTCTCTTGTTTTATGAACTGAACGTCGATTATAACCTTACATCTGTCATATTTATTTGTCATAGCTCAACATTTCATGGATTATAAAAGTTTTGTAACTACAAATATTAGTTGCAGTGATAACTAATAAATTTGTATGAATATATGTTTATAAAATAGTTCTCATCGTTTGATTATGGATCTAAATCTAGAGTTTTCTAATTGTCGTTAATAAACACAATGTGAATACATAGAGACAAGATTAAAATGTTGACAAGATTAATGTTAAATTTTTTATACTTTCACCCATCATTTAATGAGCGGTATTCACTATTTGGTAGTGCGAAGAATACCGTTTGGTATACATTGCACTACGAAATAGTGAATGGTCACTATTTCAGTTTCAGAGAATGAATAGCCGTGCCCTGTAGAGGATCTTCAAGGACATGAATAAAATAATAATAAATAAATAAATATATTATTATTATTATTATCAAATTCATGAAAGGTCGGTTTTTGATCTACAGGCGATGAAAAACCGACTAAAAATTATAGAACGTTTTGGTCTGTTTTTGACCTTGATGCGATCAAAACCAGCTAAATAATTGTGACAAAAAAAGTCTGATTTTGGTCTTGAAACAATAGAAAACAATTTTATTATAACATTAAAAATGATCTGAAATTGGTCTGAATTGTGAATAGTACGGGCAAAAACAGATTAAATTCTCATATAAAATAGATACACATAATAAAATTAAATTGAATGACTAAATTTTTTGACCCGGGCTGTTAATTATTGAGTAGAAAAAAATATCAGAATTACTTTGTTGAAACAAAGTGATTTTGTAGGCATAACAAAATAATTTTGTTGCGAAAATTTTTGTAAAATTCGGAGAAGCTTTTCTCCAAAATTGTCATTAAAGTTATAATTTACAATTTTGTTTATTATTGTCACAATTGAAAAATCCTGGATATGGTTACCTCTGCAAGCTATCCCTGGAACTTCTATTTGCTAAATAAAAATACATGACAGTCTTGAAGAAAAATAAAGGAGCGCTATTCAAATTTCTTGTTATTAGAATATATATTTATTGCAGCAGAAATATACTAACATACATTTCGTTTTAATAATAATCAAAAATTAATAAATTGAATTGTAAACTTGCAAGTAATTGTCACAATTGAAGGTAAAAATAATTCATCAATTGTGTAATATATATCAATGATTGTTAAATATAATTAATAACAATGAATAGTCACATGACCGGCATCATTCAGGCGCTGATTTTTGTTAATCCAACAATATTTCAAATTTCTGCCTCCAGGAACACACCGCTTGTTAACATCTGAATTGGGTAGACAATTGATTTTATCAAATATCGCCAGAACCGCGTAATGAACCTCCGTTATTGATTCCCAACGGTAAGCTGCGTACATGATGCCCGCAACAGCAAACTCGTAGGTGCCGTTGTTGGAATTTTTGAAAACTTCAAGACCTTCTTGGGCGACTTTGAATGTTTCTGGAGACTTGACGTTTAATTCAGTCCATTTTCTAGTGAAAGCATTAGCATTGCCGAAAACTACCGATATTTGTGCCACACAATAAAGAGCCACGATCATTAAAGTTATCGAATCGTACTTGAACATTTTTAACTTGAACATTTTTTAAGTTGAGAATAGAACATTTTATTAAGACAACGGTCAAAGCGGGAATGATCAACAAAGAAGTGATCAACTACTACAACAAATATTTCGATTCCTTCTTATCAGTTATCATTAAGCGCTATCAATTTATGAAAGAATTAGAGTGGAAAAAAAAAAAATAACTAAGTAGGTCATTTTTAATGCTTGTCTACAGAAAATTAAAAATTTTAGAGTTTTTTTTATTATAAAAAATATTTGTCGATCCTACACAGAAAAAAATGGGGTTTACTTGCAAGAAAATATTTTTCTTCCTAATTATTTTCTTGAGCGAAAGAAAAATTTTTTCTCGACACAAGAAATTTTACTTATTCCAACAAAATTAATTCTCTTGCTTTAAAAAATACGTATATTGATCCAAGGAAATTTTTTTATGTCAAGAAATTCTTTGAAACGATATCATCAATAACTCCAAATCACTTCACTAAAAATAAATATTTCTACCCCACTACTGTAATTGGTATTGTCTACACACGTGGCGATATGGCGCCAGTAACTCCTCCCACTAATTTCCTCCGAATGGAATAATAAATCCCGATCAAAGACTACCGATATTAAATAAAAATAATAATCAGAAACAAAATAACAAACAGAATCTCGATTGGACTATGGACACTATAATTATCCTCCCAAGGTAATCATGGGCAGATAATTCCAGTGAGCATCCATACAAGATATTATACCGCAAGTTGAGCCACCGTGTTCCGCAAAATTAGTATTTCCATTACTGGCTACTGTACAGGATCGAGTATAAGTAATGAGTTACTTTTTTCAATCAAAGACTCGAAAAGAAGAGATGCCCGGGGAGGGACCACCTACACCTGTTCGAACAAATTTTAGACTTGTGTACACTCAAGATTTATAGACTGTTTCGATGCAGGTGTAGATAGAACTCACCTGGGTCAGAATATTAATTTGATTTATTTTATAGAATTCTTTAGTGAATCGTCTACACGGAAAAAAATTTCTGGGAAAATTTACGATACAACTATTGTAAAGCTGGACTATACTTTTATTACTATTAATTTTCAAATATTTTAGAAGAAAATTTACTATTTATTCATGAAATTTTACAATTTACGATTAGAAAAAATACGATATACTATTGTAAAAAGTAAGAATTAAAATTTCCAGTGCTGCCTCTGTATCTTGCAAATAGAACTATAACAAATTTTACAATAGTTGAATTGGAGTGTTTGTCAATTAGTGTGAGCGATGGCCGTGCACAGCGCTAGACTCCGAGTTTATGTAAATGTTAAAGGACATGGGTACTAGTTTACCTCGGATAGCGTAGAGGGAGAGTCTCTGGCTGCTAACAAAAAATTCTGGGTTCGATTCCCGGATAGGACGAAAATTCCGATTTCTTTTTTCGGTTACTGTATTGGTACCAATCAGTCCAACCTCCTATCTCTCTCCCTCCCTAAAATTTCTTTTAAAAAAACCGACTGTCAATTTTAACAATAGTTGAATTGTAAAGTTTACAAACACATATTGTATAATTTGCTCTATATTATTCGACTTTTGAAGTTTCTTGCTAGCCTTGCTTGTTGGATAAAATTTACAATAGTAGATCGTAAAAATTACTAAATGAAAAGTACAGTCCACTGTTACTATTTAATTTTATAAAAATTACGATAGTGAAATAGTAAAAAATCCTTCAATTTTTTTTCCGTCTATAGACGTGCTAATATATTAACAAAACAATTTTGTTGCCAAAAATAGTTGTAAAATTCTAAGAAGCTTTTCTCTAAAATTGTTTTTAAAGTTATAATTTACAATTTTGTTTATTATTGTAACAATTAAAAAATCCTGGATATGGTTAACTCTACAAGCAATCCCTGGAACTTTCTATTATATTAAAGTTCAAAACGCTGAAAAGTTTTCCAATTGCGAAGTTAATAGCTCTTGAAGCTCAAAATACAATTTTGAGCTCGAAAATCTATTTACTGTCTTGAAAAAATATTTTTAAGAAAATTTAGCTAACAAAATAATTAGTTGGTCGAAAATAATTTAGCTATTTCAACAACATTTGTTATACCAACCGACCGGTTTATGTTGAACCACCAAAAAATTTATTGTTATCCTGAGATGATAATCTTGTTATTTACAAATCGATTTGTTCATTCAACTCAAATATTTTTTTAAACTAAAATATTCTGCTATAACAAACCTGTTTTGTTTTAACATATAAATACCTTATAACCTAAACTGTTATCATAAGATTTCATTTGTTATCCCTATGATATCAATTTCGTGTTGTGTTTTTTAAAAAAAATTTCTTATCACTCATCTAATATAATTTTTTATGACACCTTATTGAATAATAATGATTCTGTTGTTTACAAAAAAAATTAATCTATAAAATACTATGGAAAACCCACACAAAATAATGTTTGACGTAAGTTGTTGACTAATAACTCGAACTTTGTAGTATTTTATGACGCTGATATCATTAATTGCGCAAGCATGATGTAAACCAACCAGATTTATCTCCAATATCCACTTCTTCATTGTCTCTCATGGTATTTAAGCCTCTTCCGTTCGACACAATGTCAGTTTGACTAGATCTTCAATCGACTATAGTCTATAGACGACAAACACGAAAGCATGATGATGAAAGCAAGTCTTCTAATAGTAAGTACCTCCCAATTTATCAAACCTTCTATTCGGAACAAGTATAAATTATTTCTACCATTAGATCGCAGTCCTGGGATACGTGTCCGCTAAAGTGATCAAGATTCCTCCGACTTCTGCTCCAGAAAGTGCAGAAGGTTCAGTGCCTGAAACCTGGAGCCTGGAAATAAAATACAAGACATCACCTGCAGATCTAAATACCGACTTTGAGCCACCGCAGCCTTGGATTATGAAGCCCGTTGGGGAGTTCAGTGATGTCAATCTGAAGAACAGCATCAGAATCAGGGTTCCTAATGACTGGTTTCAGAACGCTCACAATGAAATTTATGCTTGTGGAACTGACGGTTCGACAAGATATTTCTCTCTAAAGAATCTTGAAGGCCCTTCTTCAGTGTTTACTTATCCTTCGAAAAGCACCGGAATTGCTGATGATTCTGAGCTCTGGGAAGTGGACACATCAAAAAGACTGGAAGGATACGAAGGTAGGAAGTCGGTCACGTATCAGTTCTCCATCCGGCCAGCAAACTCTAGAAAGTAAAAAATTTTGTGAAATATTAAGACGAGTAGGATGTAATAACACAATAGTGTGTTAAGAAGACTGTCTATAGATATAGCATGCGTGCAAAATTTTACACATTGAAATGTTAAGTAACATGAAAAAAATTGTTTATTGAATTGTTATTGATTATGGTTGTAGAAATTGTAATATTTTAAATAAAAAATTGTGGTATTTTGTCACAAAAAAAGCACAAGATTAATTTGACCGATTTTTGAAAAATCAGAAATTTTTATCATTAAAATTAATATCCGACACGCTTTTTATTAGCTTCACCTGTATGTTTGTAACCGACTTTATTTTGACCCACCAAACGGTCAGATTTCATTTAAACTTCGTAGACTTATCGAGGACCGATGACAATACACTAATTTGATAAGATTATTCCATTATTCAATTTGCGGAATAACATTTGTTAGTTTATATAACTTTCATCTAGTCGATAAGGCAGGAATTGATGTCAATTATAATTTCCAATCATTATCTTTAACCGATTTATCTAATATTAACAAATTTTCTAATACCAAAGAGAATTTTAATTCAACAAAATAAGCAAGAATTTAAATTTACAATTTTTAAGGAAAGAGCCTTGTTCGATGTTGTAATGAATGGTGATTGAGCTACCGATTAATTTTGCTCTAATAAAAATAATAGTTTAAAAAAAATAAAAAAACACGCTTTTAAAAATAAACCAAATTAAAAACTAGAAAATAAATAATAGTTTAAAAACACTAAAAAACACGCTTTTATAAAAAACAAAACTAATAGAAAATAAATTTGAATTAAGAATGGTGTAAAAAATTTTAATAAATATAAATTAATAATAGTGTAAACAAAAAAAATGTATTTTATTTAAAAAAAAAGCGTGGGATGCTTTTTAAGATATTATCGAAATGATAATTTTTCTCATATCTGTCAATAAAGTATTTACAACTATTGACACCATGCTCCCCACGTTTCTTTACAATAAAATACTTTTTTTTCCTATTTGCACTATTATTAATCTACATTTATTAAAATTTTTTACACTATTCTTAATTAAAATTTATTATCTATTTTTTAGTTTTTTTAAAATATTATTTATTCTCCCCTTATTTCGATAACGATTTCAACCAATCGATCTGTTTATTAAACTAAAATATTTTGTTTAACCAAAAAGTTCTGGTGTAACAAAACTGTATTGTTCTAACACAAAAATACCTTATAACCCAAACTATATCATAACATATGATTTGTCTAAGTCAATAGAGTAAATTCCACAATAAAAAAAAAAAATGGTGTGTGTACTTATGTACACGCGTCAGAAGTTATACTTCTTTGGCATATAATAACAAAAATTTTAAAGAAAAAAAGTGAGCCGTCATGGGACACCTGGCAGATGTGAAACATCGTGTGTGTACAAGTAATATGCATAAAAGATAATATTATCACAGAAATTAAATATAGCCTAATGAAAAAATAAAGTATTACAAATTTCTTACAGAAAATGATAACTTTATTTAATAAATATTTATTTACATGTGATATAAAAATTCGATATTAATATCAAGTGGCCACAATTTAAATAATTTCATCTGTGACTTCAGTAATAGTTATATTCGATGTTTCCTCTGCCGGTATTACTGTGACGATTGGTCGATGACAACTAAAGTACGTTACAAAAGTATTGGATGAAACATTATCAAGATATCTCACAAATACAGTATCTATTGTTGTTCCATATTTGGTAGTAGATTCTCTTGGATTGTTGTTGATTTGCAATTGATATTCTTTTTGAAGAAATGTAATTAATGGCATTGATTCAGCTCTTGCAAAATTTACATTAAAATCTCCAGCTAAAATTAATGGTAATTTATGTTTATTCGTTTTAAAAATTATTGAACCTCTTTGACTATAAGGAAATAACCTTTCATGTAAAAATGAAATTATATGATCCATTTTGTTATTAGGTGAAATGTATACTACAATCATAATTAATCCACTTCACAAGCATTTCCAAATTCGTTATTTTTAAAGTTATCGATGAAATATTCATGAGCTGTTTTATGGTATCTAAATTGACTGGTAGTTATTCGGAATTTCCGCAATATTTGCGCTTGATAGGTTACTTAAATTTTGCTGAGATATGTCAAACACTTCATGCTCCATTTCTCCCAAACCAGTTAAATTTCGAGAATTTGTACTTACTTCATCTATTATGATTATTGGTTCTATAATTATTTCTCTATTTTCTATATTTGGAGAAGTATGTAATTCTATAATACTTTCTGCATTCTGTAGACGTCTCCCTTACACAACATTGATAGTATGCCTTGTGTTTAACTGATCAGGGTAGCGTCCAGTTTCAATAATAATATTTTGTGATCCCTGTGATGATTGTTGGGAACTGAAATATTTAAAAAAATCTGATATTAAAATACACAAGAAAAAGAAAAAAAATTTTGAGTGTGGCTTCAATATACTCATGAACTCAAATCTTAGTTAATTATTGCAATATATGACTAAAGATTTGCAAATATAAATTTTATTAATAAATTTTTCCTTATTAATTCCTTCATGAATAATAAAAAAATAATTAATTGAAGATAATATTAATAAAATTTATATAATTATTAATCTTTAATATAATTTATATAATTACTTATATGATTAATATGAATATAATTAATTAAATATAAAAATATAATAATTACATTTATGGACACTTGAAAAATACGATCTACTTACTGATGACTTGGTAGTATGCCATAGTATAGTTTCATTTTCTTTGCACAAGGTTGATCACTTTGATCTTCTGAGTTATCACTATCACACATATTTTAGGTGGCCGAGCGATTCAACCCTGTGAATTTTAACCCCGGTCATTTGAACCTTGAAAATCAACCTTGGTTATTTTACCCCCCGGTCATTTGACCCTTATAAACTCAACCTTCAACAATATCATTCTATGGCTATTTCATCCATCGAAATTCATCATCGGGACATTTCAACCCCAGAAATACACCCTTTTATATTTTTACGGCCGATTAGTATTGTTAATGTAAATTGATATTATTTTTCAAAAAGAAGTATGGATATCATGAGATTCAAAGTTGACGCTATTAAAACATGGACAGTCTGATGGAAAGTATTGTATAATTTAAAGGCCTAAGTAATGAGTCATTATATTATTGAGTTTTACCATGAGTCATCATTTGCTGACTAATGAATGACTCACCCCATAGTTTTTCCTTTCCCATTTTTCCATGTTGTCTTTTCTCCATTCATATTCGAAGCTCACTCACGCCAATAAAGTATTGTAATTAGTTAAGTATTGTAATTAGTTAATCTTGTCAAAAGTGCACAACAAGGTTACGGGCGTTTGTGTTTCAATATTTCTGAGTAAAAAGACACACAAATCTTGTTAAAAGTGCGCAACACGATTACGGGCGTTTGTGTTTCAATATTTCTGAGTAAAAATACACATACAGAAAAAAAAGTCATCTTGAGTCAAGTAATATTTACTTGATCCAAGTATATTCAACTGAAGATAAAATATATTCTTGAGTTAAGTAAATTTTTTTCTTGTTTTGGTCAATCTTGGTTTAAGTAAATATTCCCTAGTTCCAACATGCTTACCAACTTGAGTGAAGAAAAAAACCTCTTAATCCAAGTAAATCATTCTCTTGGTTTTTGAACTTGCTTCATGTACACACAGGCGTATCGAGGCCCGAGTAGGACAGCAGCCGCGCGGAAACCCATATTCAACATTAAATAAAAATTATTGTTTATGGAGCTAGAGTTCCGGGAGTCGAGACTTTTTTTCAGAAATTTCCTCCTCTTTAAGTTTTTTTTTTCTGATTGTCGATATCACTTATAGTTATTGAGTTATTAACGCAACAAATTTCTAACCGTGTACTTTGTATGAGTCGAGCGAATACTTATTATACAAATATTTTCGTCACTACACACTTAACTGTAAATCAGTAATATAATGGGAAATCAGCAAGTTAAAAATTAATCAAAAATGTCTAATTAAATGAACACAAAAAATAAAATTCATGCATAAGGTTATTTTTTTTAATTTAATTCTTTATTAAAAAAATCTCGGTTTAGTTCCAAAAAATCACGTCGCCAACGTTGGCGCTACTTTCCAAACCAAGAGAAAGATTTACTTGGGATAAGTATATGACATTATTAGTTCAAGAATAAACAAGAACTTGAAACAAGAAGTAAATTTTGAAGAAAAAGATTTTCTTGAGTCAAGATGACTTTTTTTTCTGTGCACAAATATTGTTAAAATAGTTGGGGTCAGGGGCGTAGCCCTGGTGGGGGTTGGGGGGCGAAGCCCCCCACTGATATGAATATATTTTCTATTTTTTAATAATGAATTTCCAGGGGTCAAAAGACCGGGGGTTAAAATGACCAACGGGTCAATTTTGGAGGGTGAAGTGACCGGGTTGAAATAACCAAAGGATCAATTCCAGAGGGTCAAATAACCGGGGGTTGAAATGACCAGCGGTTCAATTTCAGAGGTTCAAATGACCAGGTTCAAATTTCCGGGAACGAATTTTCAGGGGTTGAATCGACATGTAACCATATTTTATTGTCAAAAATTAAAATGAAAATGTTTCACATCAAAATTAAATAAAACGCAGGTTATGTGTACCGTAGTCAACAACAACGTCGAACTGAGTGAGAAGCCACACCATACACTCTACTACACAGAAAATATATATATGTACCTTAGTATAGCGTGGCGATTCGTCGCCACGGCAAGCGTCGCCACGCCAACAATTCGGTTTACTAGTGAGCCTATAGATGTTTCACATAAAAAAAAATACAAAAATGATCAAAGAAAAATGTTGAAAACAATCAAATAGGTTTTATTATAGTAAAAATTTAGCTATACCGTATAGTTTACAATCGATAATTATAAAATATTTTAATTATGAAAATTAAGTTAGCTGACATAAAAATTTGGAGAATTTTTTTTTTTTATTGAAAAAATGATTAAAAAAAATAAAAAAAAATTTTCACTTGTGAAAAACTTCAAAAACTGTAAGTGCAATTTTTAAAAAGTATTTTTTTGTTCTAATTTAATTATTAAAGATAAAATCAAAAAATTAAAAATGTCGGCTAATTTTAGTATCATTACTTATTTATTTAACATATATTATGTTTCTTATAAAATAATTCATTATTTATTATTTAACCTAGTGATAATATCTTTTTAATTAATATATTTATTCAAAAATAATGTATACATGAATTAAAAGACAACTATTGTAGTACGAAACTAGATTTTGTTTCCAACAAAATTCCGGAAAATTATTAAAATGGTCTATAATATGAATTTAAAAAAATATGGATAGAATTACTATATTCGATAAGCAAAATGATTGAGTCTGTATTAAAAATTATGAACTCAATAAAAAGATCCCTAAATATAATAGGTACTACAATATTTATATTTTAGTTTAAATATTTTAATTCATGAAATTACTATTATTTTTGGAAAAATATTGATTAAAAGAAAATTATTATCAAGTTGTATATGAGTTAACTTAGTCATTTAAAAAAATATATACTTTTAATTCTATTCTGTGGCCAACTTCATTCTGTTAATTTAGGTGTCAATAATAGTGTGCGCGCGCATCGTAAAAATTCACTCTCATCATTTTTCTCCATCGCGCCAAAAGAAGTATAACTTCAAAAATGGTGAGCAAATATTTAACAAAAAAGCGTATGATTTATCAGATAAGTTGAACGTCAGTCCTTTATCAAGATATCTGACTCCCTTATAGAACAAATAGTCGGTTCGGTTGTTTGCTCCCGTTCTTCTTGATATCGCCCGTTAAATACCTCGACAATAGTTCCCAGTGTTTAAACATCCGTCTTACATGCATTGTCCCCAGCAGCAAGTCCCAGTACCCGGCGTTGGCTCCATACAGCTCAGTATGTATACAAGCAAAGGCATCTACTGGTTTATCTTCGATCACAAAATGTCTTGGCGGGTAACTTGTGTTTCTTACTCGGGTGAGACGACAGCGACACCGACACCGTCGGTTAATTTATCGCTAACGATTTGTCCTTTTACACATACACTACACAAGATTGCTATTTGTTTGTCTAGTCACGAGGATATAAGGCCAGCAAGGAGCTTAATACCCTCCTAGTCTTAAGAGCAATATCCGGTCCGGTTCATCTCAAAATACCCGCCTTTTAATCCAAACATTTGCCTTCTTCCACGACAAACAAACACTTAAAGGTGCTTTTATTGTTTCGTTTATTTGGTCACCATTTGTTTCTATCCTCTGAGTGATTGTCATTCAAATCAATGAGGTTGGCCTCCAGACCATCCCTGCTAAATAAAAATAATATAATAAAATTTCTAGTGCTGCCTCTATCTTTCCAATAGAAGTAATTCTTAAGCAAAAAAATTATTCTTGAGTCAAGAATAAATAATCATAAAAATAGTTACCGAAATAAGGCGAGAAAAGTCGGAGATTAATTTTTAATAATAAAAAATTTTTCTAGTTTAAAAAAATCAAAGCTTGTTTTTTTTCATGTGACAAAATTCCACAAATTTTTATTTAAAATATTACAATTTCTACAGTTATAATCAATAACAATTCAATAAACAATTTTTATCATGTTACTTTAACATTTTAATGTGTCAAATTTTTCTTTATAGACAGTCTTCTTAACACACTATTGTGTTATTAAATTATAGAGTTTGCTGGCCGGATGGAGAACTCATATTTGACCGTTTGATATTAACTTTGATTATTTCGTGGTTCATTTTCCATTCGCGTCATTTCAAGTCGTTGATCGTCTGGCGAGGCCCCTGGCATTAGTATTGTTTTGGTAATTTTTGGATAAAATTACCTGGCGTCCTTTTCGTGCACTAACCCAGCCTGAGGAGTCTCGGGTTAATTTCATCATCATTTGTATATTATTTAAGAAGGGCGAGCGTAAAATACCTTACCCAGCCGGTATCTCCGCCTCCGGTAAAAATTTAGCTAAATTTGGGGAAAAGTATTGTTACAGATATTCATTACGAGCCTCATAATAATATCATATCATTTTTACACGGGAAGCTAATAAAAAGCGTGTAATATATATTTTTCAAAATTTTTTTTAATAAATTTAAAAATTCCCGTCAATAGTTCGATAAACAAGCACAGGCAAACGTAATAATAATAATAACAACAATAATTAATACATATTCAAATGATGATAAATACAGATACGTCATGTAGCTTCGGTTTAAAATAAATCCGAGCGTTATTCAAATGAATAAAAACTAGTTATAGCCGAAAATCTATATTTGAGGCCTCGGAAATCTGGTAGCTGAATAAATTACTATCCATAATTATTATTATAATTATAATAAATAACAATTTATAATGAACCCATATATTTGTATAGGATTATAAATAGTTTGTTTGCTGTATTGCTTTATTTTATTTTATTTAGAATTTAATCTTGGTTATCGCGTATTATTAATATGGGCAATCATTCACCAACCCTTTGCGACCTTTTCGGACCCTTATCATATGCCATAGGCGTCTCGAAACGTGATACATTTATTAGAACAGGATTAGGCTGTGAAATATACTGTTTTTTATGGAAAGAAAAATAGCTTTTCCAAACTTTTTTATTTTTTGTAATTACTTATAATTTTTTTTTTTTTTCTAATGAAAATAATTTTTTGGGGTGACCAAAAAAATTAAGACGAGTTGTTTCAATTTTACAAATTTTTTAAGGGCTCAAAAAAATTTAGAAAAATTTATTGAATTAAATTAAGCTTTTGATGTAAAATTTGAATAAA